TCAATACATTTTTGCTTTAAAATATCAATACATAGTACGATGTTTCACAAAGCCCATGTTGACTTTCTGATATAGTTTCAAAAGCCATCAATGACTGTCAGCCCAGAAAAGTTATTTAGTTTTCTATCAAAGCAGCAAATGTTCACAATGTCAGTCAACGTTTGCTCGTCTAATTTTTCCTGCAAAAGCTTGGTAAAAATGTTGCATAAAAAAATATAGGATAACGACATATGATTCATATTAAACTTGAAGAAAAACAGTATGATCTCTGATGCAAGTTGCTTTCCATTTCTCAAAATTCGTATCATAGAGCCCTGCTGAGCTTTGACTTTTCACTTTCAATCAAGTCTGGATATTCACATCCATATGAAACTTCTTTGAAACTCTGAACTGTGTCACTGTAGATGTGTCAACAATAGTATTTACCACAAAATTCCACTATCTAGTGCTGCGGGAATGATGTGTTTTTATTGGCCAACCTGGCATCTCCACAAAAATCCAGTGGGATTTTCCTATTGGATTTTCAATTATTGCCCCAAAAATGTACTTTGACAAAAACAAGTTTATACTCTTTAGAATAATATTCATAAACCACTTTGACTAAATACGATCGGCAGAAGTAAAAGGTTATCACTGGCGCAAGTATCACTACTATGAAGCTTCCAACTCCATTTGTGATTTGGCATTCACCTCTTCTACAAAAGCTCTTGCTCCAGGAAGAACAGCGCAAGTTACACATAACCAGGCTGTAAAGTGGGGTTTCATGTTTGGTGTGATGACCTTTTAATGCCCCTGGCTTCTTTTCTCATTTAGCTGCTCGTTAGCGACCAACCTTTTAAGACATAAATAAACTTAACAAAAATCACAGGTCGGGTATTTAGTGATGTAGTTTATGCTTTTAGAAAAAACAAGAAAAGGTCTTGCGCTTGTGTGAACCACGGTCCTTATTTCAGGCATCTAATGAAAAGCATTCAAAAGCGAGATGAGGAAACAAGCGTGCAAAAATCTCTGGCGTGTTAGGACTCATTATTGCCGCACTCTGTATTGGTCAGGCTCTAGCTGCGCTGGAAATATCTCAGCATGACATCATGTCTACCTAGTTCATGCCAATAAGAAAAATAAACCAACCCATGTACAAGTATATGTGCTTGAGTGTACATTTTTCTTTCCACTTTGTGGAGGTTCAGCTCATCTCCTTCTCCACCTCGGTTTATATAAAGGTGTGGTGGTGAATAGGCTCTTTTAGCCGGCTGTAATTGAACCTGACCCACTTGCACAATTAACTCTAACCCATAATATTTGTTTAGTGGTATTGGGTTTTGGATGGCTTGGCCCCAGCGGTTAGCTCGACCTCAGCGTAGTCAGCTGAACCATCAATCATTGCTGCTTCATGAAGGGGCGGTGCTCCAAAATGAAACGGCAGAACCCAGCAAAGACAAGACTGATGCCAAAACCTGGTCACTGAGGATGACTCAAGATGTTTCCAAGCTCTCCTTCATCACCAGGAGCTAAGCTGTTCAGGCATGGCACGCTCAGTTTGTGGTTCTCTATACTGTGTGTTGCCACTTGAAAAATACTGAGTACGTGTCCAGTTCATGGCACCAACTGATTTTATAAGATGATAACACTGGTATTTGGGAGGAAAGCAATAGTATTATGAAAAAATATATTGGCTGCGACTGTACTGGAAAAGAGATTTGAAATGATAATTATTAGTAGTTGCCAGTTCATTAAACCAAGAATTGGTTTGGAAAATCAAGGCTCTAAAGAAAGTAAATACTGTAATTATGATAATGTGTAATGCCATTAAATGTGTTATAGCTCCCATTAAAAAACATAGCTCACTACAGCTGCTTTCCGACTTGCACTAAACTCCAGAGGTCTTCAGGAGTTTCTTCAGAGGAGGTGTATGTTTTAATGCAAAGGTCAGAGTGAGAGCCTGGATTTTCTGCTGACTTTCTCCGAGCGGCTCCTTGTATTAAATCGTCAGAAGGTCAAACGCAGTGCGAACGCACTAGGAGATCCTCTGCAGGATTAACACAGAGGGAGTGGAAGGTTGATGCCGCTTCTAACACGGGACAGTCGGAAAAACTTAAAAAAAAAATATCTCTGGAAGAAAAAGTGGTGCGAGGCCTGTGTGGATGTGTTGTAAATAAAAACACGTGATCTCCACAGCGGTATCAATATATTGCATCCTCCCCCTGCATGCTGCACCACCCCTTCCCTGAGAACTGCAGAGGATTTGTTTTTCACGTGTGTGCAGAGAAAGGCAAACTGTGCAGAAGGTCGGAATCCATGTCTGCCTATTAGCTTCTTCTTGGAGCTTTCAGCTGTGTCTCTTGGTCTGTCTCATACACGTCTGCTCAGTATATTACAGTCAATTCATTTCATCATTTGAACCCATAACATCTGCTGAGTGAAGTGTGGTAATATGTAATTAAAAAGCCTGGGAAGATGTAAGTTAGTGGCAATGAGTGGAGGTGTGAGTTGTATAGTCAGTGGAACATCTTTAAGAATGAATGTATGAGATAATACATTGTGTAAATGTGTTTAAAATTGAACGAGTACTGTAGGAGAACATAGAATACCAAAGGAAAGTCAGGGTAAAAGGACTGAAAAAGTTTCCAAAGCATTTTTTCGCACTGGAAAGAACTTGTCAGCGATGCCGGAGCATTTTCCACTATTCCCTCTAGTTGCTGTCGACTTATGACATCTTACATTATCATCCATTCATGCAGTGCACCATGAAAACAATGGACTGCAGCCACGTTCATTGTCATTACTGATGCAGTTGTTACTTTCAGGAATATTGCATTAAAGTAACAAGTAACATATCTAAAAATGCCCCCAAAGCTAAAAATGTGCTTCCAGTAAACACAGTCACTCTCCACATACAGTACATGGACTTAATTGGTACTTTTTGTGCAGCGTCCACAGGGACTGAAGCTGACAAACACACACCTCCAGGGAGGAACTCCTGTGCTCTAGTTATGCTTGTTTGTCTCTTTGTAAGGCCACAGAGGTGAGGGGGTGCCTCACCTTGTCATCAGCTGTGTGCATTGATTAGCTTTTAAGGCCCTGGTTCTAATTCAAGCCCCCTTTTTTTTTTTTTTTATTGATACATCAGCGCAGACGATGGGATTGGGAGTTAATGAGATCTCGTGAGAATAGAGCTGCAGGTTAAGTGGCTCAGTATGTACAGTGACACACTGACAGACCTTCAGAAGCATAGTGTGGTTCATCTGAGTGTTGCTCCATAAACCCTGTGAGAATGTGATGATAATAATAATCATAATAATTATTATAATAATAATGGTTTGGACTGTTGGTGTTCTTAAGAGGGTTTGTCTCCCAGCAGCCACCACTGTTGTAGCGTACACTGCAGCTGCTTTGTATTGTACAGAACTACACTGAATTGAAACCAGTCTTTTTCTGTTTTCAACAGTCACCTCGTGCTAAAGGTCAACAGCTCTCTCTGTAACAGCAAACTTCTCTTTCATTTCAGTGTGCAAGGATCCACCGTACAAAGTGGAGGAGTCTGGATACGCGGGCTTCATTCTGCCCATTGAAGTTTACTTCAAAAACAAGGTATGTTTGAAACAATTTCACACCAGAAAACTCTGTATTAAATATTATACTACCTCCTGCAAAATGTCTTGAAACATTGTTGTATTCATCCATCCACTCTCTGTCAAAATGGAGAATCAGAGGAAGATACAATGTTAGAAATCACGATGCCTGTGAAGGACAACATGATAGTTTGGATCTGAGTGTAGCCCTCACGTGACGCAGTGTTCATCTGTTTTATTGGAAAAAGTCCTGACAGACGGAATTTGATTGTTCTCTTCTCTCCCTCTCTGGCTGGATCACCACTTCTCCTCAGGAAGAACCGAAGAAAGTCCGCTTCGACTACGACCTGTTCCTCCACCTGGACGGCCACCCGCCTGTCAATCATCTCCGTTGCGAGAAGCTCACCTTCAACAACCCAACGGAGGAGTTTCGTAGGAAGCTGCTTAAAGCCGGAGGGGTAAGAGAGTCGGGGGGGGGGTGGTCCCAGGCTTGTGTGACATTTCTTAACGGGACACAGACATCTACAGAACGAGCGCAGGAAAAACTTACACCTCTTTTATTCAGAGGGGGGTTCTTTGAGACCAACATCCATGTGGTATTATGTCTTTCTCTTATTGGCAACTAAAGACCCAAAGCAGCGATTTGTGAGTTTTGACAAAAATATAGTTTCAGTTAAAAAAAGGGGGTTCAGTCATTTTCAGAGGGAAATAGTGCATTTGGCTAGATTCAGCTGCAAATTGAAAGTTAAGATTATTATGCCATCATCATGCTCAATTTGACGCAAACACTTTGGAGACATTTCTGAGTCAAGTTGAAACACCGTGTAAAATAACAGAACATTTTAAAACACAATTGCGGCTCCTGTTTGTATTTCTGGCAGCAGGATTGTGTGTGTTTGGACAACATTGGAAATGAATAGTACTGTTTGGGCTCAGAGGAATAAGGCTGTGGGTACACACAAACACAGGATCAGTCAAATTTAATTTGTATAGCCCATATTCACGAATCGCAACTTGCCTCATACAAAATCTTCTGCCCTTAACAAGAGTGATGGAAAAACCACCAATAAAAGCGTAGAAACCCCAGAGAGAGCTGCAAGTGAGGCATCCCTCTCCCAGGTTGGTGTGGTGTTAGATTTGAAATAATACGAAATAAATTTAGACTCATAATTTGATTAATTATTAAATGGTCAAAACATTATTGGCACAATCACTTTTTCTTCTTTTCAGGCGTAAAAATGTTTCCAAAGAGGAAACTCCTTTGTTTGGCTCTCAGGCGCAGCAGCAGATGTTCAGGAGAAAAGTGTGACTCTGCATGCCAAATGTCATTCTGTTACAGTACAGGAGGTGTAACCTAACACTCCTCTTATCTGTTCTATTCAGAACAAGCTGCTGTATTGTCTGACTCTGGTCATTTTATGCAAGAAAAAATTCGGCACTCTACCATTGGATTAACCACAGAGATTTGTTTTACCTGACTCTCTCAGTTATGAAAGCTATACAGTGCAGAATGAATGTCGGTCCACACACACAGTAGATCAGCTGACCTCATCATCAAAGCTCTCTGTACTTGTTACAGTTGTGATGAACTGGCATCAGTTTTCCTTCAGTTGTGTCCTCAGTCGGGTGCACTCTGTCAGTTGGCTGCCGGCCAGAGACCCCCTGTAGACAGGAGGTTTTATGGCTGGAGCTAAGTGCTCTGTATTTACTTTGCCAGTCTGCACCCTCAGTCTCACTCTCAGGTCACAACTCACATTCTCCATTGTCCAGAAGAGGGTTGTCACTGCAAGGTCTATAATCTCGTTAGTTTCTCTACCACACTCTATTCCACAGATTTGAACCCTGCAGCAATTCTTTGTACCTGAATTAAGCTGTAGATGATAAAATATCCGTCTCTTCCATTGTCTTTCACAGCAACGGGATCCTCACAAACGAAGTTCAGAAGACTCAAAAGTAAGATTTCTGTCATGCCTTCTGTAAAGATGACGAAACATTTGGACGACAAAACGTGGCTTCAGATTTCTCTTTGTTTAATGGTAGTGCTTTTGTCCTGACCGGGACATTTACTGTCATTAACATCAGCGCTCTAATCTAGCCATGCAGAAGCAGCTATATTCTGGCCATATTCTGGTCATTCTGGTGATAACTTCTGCATATTCGTGCAAAAAATGTCACTTTCAGGTGTTTAGATGCATTTCTGTTAAAATAAATACTAACTGCAATACAGCAGAGAGTCACATGGCGCTTGTTTCGTGCCGACCCAGGCACCAATAGGAAGCATTGCGTGCACTGCTGTGCGCCAACATGACCAGTGGCATGACGTGATGCAGGGTGGTGCTAAGCTTCCACTCAAATAGAAAATAAATACAAATTAAATGAATAGAAACTGAAATACAAATGAATCTTTTTAGAGGCTTGTCATTTAGTAGCTGTGTGTTTTTAAGTCTTCCTAGAGTCCAATAAATAGTTTTCACCCTCATTACTGGAAACTGATGAAAAGTAATTTGATGCAAGGAAGTCTCTGATCACATTTGTTTGTTGTTGCTGGTTCTCTGGCAGGTGATGGTAATGCAGGAGGGCTCAACTTCACTGTTCGGTCAGCACCTGAAGCTGCCTACGCTTCCTAACAGCTCGCTGACATCCACCTTCTCAGACCCAAAGAAGAGTAAAAGCTTCCTCGGGTCAAAGGTCAGTCTTGTTCCCAGGTCCAGCCTGGAACTAAACAACCTTCGCTTCTGCCTCCACTTCTGGGCTCCACCCAGCCCTAAAATTCTGAAACCCCTTCAATGTCTTCAGGCGCCTAATCCCCCACATATTTGGCAGGTTCAAAGATGTCCAAGGTATTTTAACTCTGGGATTTCAAAGGCATCCAACTTTGGCTTAAGAAAAACTATATCTTGGCCGCTGCTCAGCCATAAGCATTTACTCCACTGACTCAGATGTACTGTGAATCTCTTACAACCTGTAAGTGTGAAGATGCTTGACTTTTTTTTAGATAATAGTTGTTAAACGAGTGAAGCAGACGGTAGGAGGGAATGGACTAAATGATGGGCTTAGGAACTTCATGTGAGATCTGAGACATTATCTCTTGCAGCATAAAATAATGTATATCAGAGAAGTGGCATGTTGTTTCCATTATGTGTTATTTTTAGTCCCTTTAAATTGTGTCATTTAAGAGGCAGCTCAGAGGAGGCCCATTTCACATGGAAACGGTTTCCAGTCTAAACACAGTGTGTGTGATGAATTACTCCTGGAGCAGGAGGTCACACACACACACACACACACACACACACACTCTGTGTCAGGACCCCCACCCCAACCCCCAACCCAGTAATAGAACACATTTGATATTTTTGTAATAAATCATAACTACTTGGCAAAATGTTGTGGTCCGATACTAACAACTACTTTTCTATTGTTTCATCTGTGGACTATTTGACGGATAAATCAAATCTGATCTCATTTACTCAATGGAAATTCTAAAGTAGCAGGTAGACAACTTGATGGCTCAATGAATGTGCGTACCAGCTGCAAGGACAAACACTTAATATCTCACCCTGCTAATGAATAGACGGACACGTGAGGTAGTTTTGCATTTTTGCATTGGCCACCATCCAGAACAGTGCCTGTGTGTTTTCTCCCAAGGTGCACTAGTGCTGCTGTGGTGTGCAGGGTCAAAACTTCAGTGTCTAAAAGGCATTTTTGTTTCTTTGTATTTTGACGTTGTCCTATACATTTAAAGCCTTGCTCCTTCTGAGACATTCTGATAAGATTTTATATCATAGTGTCAAAGTAGAATATAAAGTGAAAAACGTCTGCAGATCTGAAAAAATGATTAAATTCAGTGTCCTTAAAAACAACATTAATTGCTACATGAAAGTCTTAAACTCAGTTCACACAAATCTTCTATTTGCTCGTCTTGTTCAGAATAAAAGACTAATCCACTAAAGTGGAAAACACTGTCGCCACTGCTGCTACATCAGCTCGGCTGAACCATGGGAAAGCAAATTATATACATTCATCATTTTTTATCGGTTAATCCATCCATTTTATGCTCCATAGCTGTGTCCAGATCACATTAATTTAATAAATCATACATTTTGGAATTATTGTTATATATTGCTAAGAGGTACTAAAAGAAAATCGGCTATATATTGTCCTGATAGCTTTTCACCATTTCCTACGGTTTGAATTGTAGGTATTGAAAGGTGTTATATTACATTGTGTAGTATTAAGATCTTAAAAAGTCATGAATTTCATTTGATGAACCCTGTTACCCATGTTACTGCTGATCTTTATAGTAATGATGATAAAATGCAAATGGTACATCACATATTTCAGTTCTTTCTAGACTTGAAAATGATACATTCCTCGAGAGTAATCATTTATTCAATTATTGTTTGTAATGTGTTTTCAGTTCTAGTTACTACTCCTAATATATTATTATTATTTACGGGCCCTTCACAGATTTACATGAACTTGGGTCACCTGCTAACCTGCTAATGTCATGGTGCTGAAAGGTTTGTTAAAAAGTGCAGTTTTAGTGATCTCCTCAATGTTCATGGCTGCAGAGGCTCCGTGTGTCAATTCCACAGCACTAAAGCAGTTTTACGCCGGGCTGCCTGGGAGAGAAATGGGTTTACTGCAGTGGAGGAGCACGCTGGAGGTTAGAATGAGCTGGCAGCTTTACATCCTGAGGTCCTAGGGTCACCAGCAGATAGACAAAATGAAAGGTTTTAGTGGTGGTTGGGCAGAGTTGTAACACACCCTGTCGTCTAGACTGCTTTAATGGGTTTACTGCATTGATGAAATATTGACAAGGGGGCTTGAGGTGAGACCCAGGGACAAATGGCCCCTGTCATTAGAACGAATGCATCTCCTCCTTTCTCCACCTTGCCCTTCGCTCCACTTTTAAGGTTGCACATGTGTGGCTGTTGAAAAGACTCCTTCTGAACAACACTACTCAAAAGAAGCCTTGAGTTTGCTCTTTAAGCCTATAGATGAGGACTGCGAAGACCCTTTTGAGTTTCTTTTAAGAATGAACCTCTTTTTACAAATGGTAATGCCAAACTGCAGGGTGGCATGCATGTTTTCTCTTGTGTAAAAGGCAGAGGATTAATCTTCCTTTGACCTAGCAGCCTGGTTTTTGCTCACTTTGTTGTTTTGGGACTAAGCCTTTTAGAAAGTTCAATATGCAGTCTTAATTGCAATCCACTAAAACATGAAAACAATGTAATCAGAGGTGACAGCTATGATGTAGGACTTGAACAGTGCTTGGAATATTTAATCTCAGTTGCACCTCACCTGTATCACTTATTCTCTCAGCAGTACAAGCCCATTCCATCCTCTGACAATAGTATTTCTCAGTGGCTAATTATGCCCTTGTTCCATTATGTTTGCCCATTGACCTAAATCGGGATTTCCCTCTTCCTTGTGCAGTAATCCTTTGAGCTGAAGATTTTTCTTTGTAGCATAGATGATTCATTCATTTTTTCGTGCATGACTTAACTTGCCACCATCCAGTCTTTACGCCATGATTTAGTCTATCAGGAACCAAGAAATCTAAACCCATTGATAATTGTTGAATAATTAGTTCTTCAAGTTGTTCCTGCATTGTGTAGAATCTAACTCATTTGTTGGTTTTCATCCACAGGATGGTTCCAAAGGCAGTGGAGCTACCCTACTTACCACCGCCACAACCACCAGCACCAACAGCAGTAGCTTCTCCAAACTCTACAAACCCTCCAAGGACCACAAAGACAAGCCTCCTAAAGACTTAAAAGAGCCCAAAAGTGCCTTCAGAGACTCTGGCTGGGAACCCAGCAAAGCCCCCAAAGAACCTTCCAGGAAACCCAAAGAGAACCAGCCACTTCGGGATATCAATCCTAAGATAGGCTTCAAGGAACCCAAGTCTTTGTCAAAGGAGCATCGGACTGAGGGTATCACCCATGGGTCAGGGATAAACAAGCGTCTGTCCGCACCTGACGGTGACGATCATGTGGCCAAAAAACGTAAAAAGGGATTTGTGGATTCATCGGGGATGCAGCTTTCAGGTTTAGACGTTCAACATTCAGATAGGAAACTACTGAAGGATAGATCACTAATGCGAACAAGTAAATTACGGCCAGAAGTTGAGGCTGAGCGCAAGAAGGTGTCAACGCTTCCTCCATTCCAGCAACTAGTGGACCCCAATGACTCTGATATGGAGGACCAGTCCAACAAATCAGATGTAAGTACAACATTTTCTTTTTGTCAAAACCAAGACAATTACACTTTGAGTTAAAATATGAGTCAATGCCATTGATTTGTTTGACAATATATCTATAATGAGGAAACCCGTGTCTTTTCTTTATCATGGAGGTTTAAGAAGCAGCTAAATCCATCAGGTTGGTTGCTTAAATGATTCAATGATTTAAGATTTCATAGGCATGCATTTATAATTAGGGGAGAGGTATACAATTCTTAACATTAACATTAAGGGGGTTAAGATTTGTTGGTGGTCAGTGCTTCCATGGTGTGGAAGGGCTATAAACTCAAATGACCTGCAGGGAGAGAATCTTCTTTAATGGTGGTCTGGTCGACTCCAGGGGGCTGGGGCGGGAAATTGCAAGAAGGGGTGGCTACCAATAAACCTAATGGGAGTTCAGTTGCATTCGTCTGGGTGGTCAAAGAGGAAGTGAACACAATGAATTCTTCAACAGCAAGCTACAGTTACAAGATACCCTTTTGTTTTCTTATTGAGAGAAAATGGCATATTTCTACATTTGAAATATAATATATAATATTGTAATGGAAGTTATTAAATATAGATGTTGGCTGTGTTAACTTTATTAACTTTGTTTAACTCAAGTGCAGGATTAGAAAACTTCATCTCTACAGTGGTGCTTTTCATGAATAGGCTGACATTCAACTGGGTTGCCTGGTCCACGCACATTTGGTGGAGAACCTCCCCATAAAGAAGGGCTGTTTTAAAGCCAAAAAGTAGACAAGAAAGATTTATGGTTTTACAACACCTGAGGAGAAAGGGGAGACATGGCAGTGAATAGCACAGAGTCCCCTTTAATCCTTTTAGCTTTTGAAAGAGTAAAAAGGGTGAGCGTTTGTCAAAGAAAGGTCTAAATCCCTGTGCTGCGAGCAGTTTTCTTTTATGCAATGCTGTTTTCATTTCTAGTCGTGGAGCTTGTATAAAGTGTGGGTCTTTGTACATCTTTCCACAGGCGCAGCTTGTTTAAGCAGAGGAATTATTACTAAGCACTAGCAAAACCTGTGTTTTTTGTCTGCGTTGTATGGAAATGGCTTTTAAGTTTTCCCATACAGGGACCGGGGGAAGGGTCTGTTGTAAAGGGGATGTGGGGTGACAAATGCCAGGTGTTTGATTCTCCCCAGGCTCACAACCCCGGTGGCCGAGCGCCGGGCCACTCTCATGTGACCGCTTGTTTGATCTGTGTTTTTTAAGCGAGTGCTGGGCCAGAAACGGCAGAGAGGAGGAAATATGGGGTAGGTGATGACATGAAGGGAAAGCAGGCTGGTGTGCTAGCATGAACACCATGTTGTTACCACCCTGTGGGCACAGACTGAATGATTTCTTACCTGCATGAGTTACCTTTAAATCTAAGCCCTTACGCAGTTAGATTTTTGATTAACATTGTTTACATTGGGAATTTTGGTAACAGAGCCCCCTCAGATAAGAGCTTAAGATTTTAAATTTATTTGATAAGTAACGGTTTAAGAAAAGGAAGAATAAAGATGTAACAGACTTAAAAAATGTGTTGACATTATACTGATATAAAAGATAAGGCATTTCAAGAATTAATGTTCGATATTGTTGGCAACATCGGCAAGATTCTTTTAAGGACCTAAGTCTGCCATTTCACTTGGTTTGAGAAATAACTTAACAATATTTTCTTTGTGGTGACAGTTTGTGCCCAGTGTCTGTAGCAGTACCGCTTTCAATTGACCTCATTAGTCAGTGTAATTTCACGAACAAACATCTCAAAAACTGATAACTGCACTAAAAGTCGTAAAAAAAAACATATAGATAACACTTGTTTTCTAATCTGTCATAAACGTCCTGGAGAGGAACTTCCAGAAACAGATTGATTTAAACTTCCCCCTCTGGTTAAGAGCCTGAAATGTGACATCAAAGTCTATGGTGAGATAATACAATTTGAAATATTCAATCAAATGATAAAACCATTGCTGTGTTAACTACAGCAAGAGTTCAGAAGTTAACTGTACATTAGCAACATTACAGTATAAATGGCTTTGTCAAACGGAAAGGCATCTTAACTCACATTCAAATCATTTTGTTTGGACAGCCCCTGCTGAATTAGACAAGCAAACCAAATAGTCTTGGTCAGCCAGGTCTTGTTTGCTGGCATTTCTTTTTGGCAGAGTTAAGAGAGGAAGCCAAATTGATGCCAATGAGCAGCAGCTAAAGACTATTTATTGTCTTTGAAGAGGGTTGCTTTGGTGGCTTTCAGAGAAGCAGGACAAAAGCCCTAAAAAGGAGTGGTGGTAAGATTTACGGCCCCGTGAAGGAGCTGTCCCATAAACCAACAGACCAGCTGTGTGTTGTTTGTTGGCAGGAGGTGACAAGCATTGAAGTCACTCTGCCTTTTATCCTCACTTCTCTCTCTTTCTCTCATGTGTCTTCTGTTTGGTCACTTCTCCCCAATTTGTTTTCTGGTTTGCAGTAGCAGACGCCTATCTGAATTTGGGTTTTGCACAACTAGATCCAAGTGCACATTGTTCTCAGTGTTGCAGCTTTAAAAACATTTATAGCTAATCTGATCATCCAGCCTGGAGGCGGAGGAGGTCAGTACTATATCAGGACTAAAGGGTAACAGTCGGTCAGCAGAATTCACCAGAGTTGTGGTTGAAGATGAAAAGAATCTGTGAGCTGAACGATCTTCAGTCTTCGCTTTTTTTCCTCTGCTGAAGGGGTTATGTTTTCAATGCTGTTTGTCTGTAAGCTAGATCAGCAAAAGGTACTGAACAGATTCTATTCAAATTCGGTGGAAAGGTGGGTTATGGGGTAAGGAAGGACCCATGATATTTTGGCACAGTGGATCCCAGGGAATAATTCATGGATCTTGATTAAATAAATCAGGCATATTCAGAGGGCTGATATCTATGAGTGTGGTGCAGCTTGATTGAATTTAAAGGGGCTGTTGGGCCTTGGTAAAGGTATGTGTTGACTGAGTGTAATTCTATTTGATAACACATTTTTTCATTTTTTCAAATTAGTAGATCAACCTCACTCCTCATTGTTGCTGAATAATAATTGAATTGTTCAATAATTGTTCCACGAACAAAGGTGTTAACAAAGGTATTTATTTTATATATTCCAATAGTATTGAAGCATGTTACGTGCTATTGACAACAATGACAACAAAGTGTTACCGACACCACTGACCCCACCACCCCAACCGCTCAAGGTGAAGCCATCGGGGGACACTCCGCTGTGTTCTCACATCGTATTCTCCTCCGGACTTTACACTAGGGGGTCAGGCAGAGAAAGTGTGCAGGTAGTGCAGAGCCTGCGTTCACACATGCACCTCCTCCGCAGAAAATTCGGCAGTATCTGCAGAGTTCAGTGCTGTTCAGTCTGATAGCAGCTTAGATGAAACATCATTAATCAAAACCACGTTTCTAAAACCCAACCACAACTGACTGGAGCTTTTTTTGCACTGTCTGAGTGTCTGTTGATTGGTCCATTGTTAGTTTGGTGCTCCACTTCAGCTAATATTTGCTAGTGATATGCTTTAATTAGTCTTTACACAATAGGTTTCCTTTATCATGAAGGCTAGTTATTAAAGTAATAAATCAAACATTTGCCCAAACAATTTTTCAATTTAAGAAAATAATTCCACCACACAGTAGATACAGAGAATCCTTCATTTGATTTATTGTTGAACTACACACCCGAAACAGAACACTTAAATACTTAAGTACTTAAAGCCAACAAATCAGGGGCCAGATAATCACTATCACAATGTGTCCATTAAGTCTGTTTCTCCATCTACTAGTGTGAGCTCTTTCTTCCCCTAAGCACTGACACTCACTCACAGCATCCTTTTTTATGCAATTTACGTATGTCCACACATCTAACAGCCCTGTCTAATGAGGACAGGCAGCCACAAATAACTCTGCATCAAAGTAATTAGGAGTCTGCAGCGCGGGAAAAACTACACATCCGTGCAGTTGAAAACTTATTTATGTACTGAGGGTAAGGAATTACTCAATTTACCGTAGATCATGAATAAAAGGCTTGGACATGATAAGAGATCAGAAGGTACAGTAATATCCATATTATGAAGGAAGAACGACAACACAAACATCATATTTAGAATATAAAGTTAACTTGAAGCGTAGTGTAAGATTGGGATCTGCCTCACTAACAAAAACACATGTTATCTTGCATAGAGAACTGAGGTTATCATAACGATAATGCACGTGTTCGCTCCTGTGGAATGAACAGGACTGTTTTTGACATGAGAGAGAACAATGAATGTAAATTGGTTGTTTACTTCCTGCAGTTTTGATTTGTGCAGCATGTGCAAGCTCATTTAGCCGAAGAAGTAAAAAAAAAAGATATTTCCCAAATTTTGACATCAGTTCCTACAACAGAAAACACAAACACATGAATATTACATATGTGGTTGTTTCCCGTTGTTGGAGCATGTGAATCGGTTTGAGGCACTTGCTGAAGTTGCTAAAAGAAGTGTGTGTGTTTCAATGAGTGTCTGTCCCATTAATGCTGGTAGTAGTATGTATGCATGGATATTCTTGCAGGGCAATGTTTTCCAGCAGGTCACATCTGCACTTGATTTCTATGGTTTCTAGCATGTCGAGGCCTAGAAGACATTTCCCTGGCATTTATTTGCATCGACAACAATCCGGGGCTTTAGAGTCTGGGTCTCTGCCTCAGCAGAGACGTTTCTCATGGGCTTGTAAAAGTCACTGCTTTGTACTCAGAGGGTCAGGAGTTGGCCCCATCGGATTTCTTAAGAGGAACCTAAATGAATCATGATTAGCTCTGATGGCTGCTTCAGATGTCCACTTTTGCCTGTCTCCAAATGGAATTAATTTAATGTGGTGGAGGTTTATTCTCCAGCAGCACGATACAGATGATGCTGTAAGATCTTTTGCTACAGGGCCTCACTTTGTATTTTATTGTTTAAACAATGCGAGGCCCAGGCCAAAATCCCTCCAGTCATTTAATCAGAGGATGTCTCATATTAGAGGCATTTTTCTTGATGACACCATGCGGCTTGTTTTAATACTTAGACAAGTAAGACTGAACACAAAAATGTCTCAGAATGTCTTTCTTCCGCCGGCTAAAAGTCCACAGCCCCACTTGTCTTGTTTTGCATTTAATCACAGAATGAGGAGGTAATGAAAATGATGGTGTCAACACTATAAAAACCAACACAAAAAATTGCTTCTAAATTAAAATGTATAAATTAAAATCTCGTTCATGTGTGTTTTTCACCGTTTGATTTCTCTTCTTCCTCCCAGTCCGAACAGCCCAGTCCAGCCAGTTCCAGCTCCAGTTCAGGCTTTGCTCCCACCCACCACAAACGACAAGGTATCTGTCCGGAATTCCCTCCATTTACAGTGGATCTCATTTTTATTGTGTGTTCAATTTGGAAATGATGTGTATAATTATCCAGTGTAGCTCATATGATCTGAAAAATAAAGCTGAAATTTTAGGGATGAGTTTTATTGCTGAGGTCTAGTATTGTATTGTAGGGGTCATTGTGCGGGGGGGAGGGGGATTCCCAGAGCAATGAGATCTAAACAAGTATACGATAATTTTTTTAGAGAAATAGTAGTTATATAGGAGAAAACTCACAAAAGTCAAAGAGATAGTGATAGTGGTATTTTTACAATGAAATCTCTACATTGTAATTTATGAGAAAATGTAATACTTTGAGATCAACTCAATTATATGTATATTTTATTATAATTAATGAATCGTCAGAATGTTGCCAGATGTTTGCTTTCACATTCAAATCATTTACAGAAAAAAAAAAAAAAGCAAAATAAAGTGGAACCCACTTAAAAGAGAAGAATCTTCCATATGTTTGAAACCGGCTCATGTTGTTTGCCTTTGACACTTTGTTGTGCCTGTAGCCTACGCACAAACAAACACATGAAGAGCAGTGAATGTTTCAGTACTGATAATTTTCTGTCCACAACTGTGACAGAAATACAGCATTAAAATGCACTATTTGAATACAATGACAATAAAGTTTCTATTCTAAAAGTTGCTAAGAAATGAGAACAGTCCAAAAGGGCCAGATGGGTTAAGAATGCATTGTTTGACCCATAATATGGGACTTATTGTATTTCTGGAGCTACTGTTCTTGAAGGTGACGTCTGCTTGTGTTTGCAATTTTTCCCTGGATGCAGTGGTGGACTTAATCATCAGGAAAAGGGTGGCTATTCCTGCCACCACCCACACAGGTAACAGTTCCACTGAGACCTGTGAGGCCACCGCAATCCAGTCACATGTGCATGGAGAATATTTTTCCCACTTGTCTATTTGCATGAACATTCATGCACCTCCTTACGGCCATGTCAGCAGGGGTGTCGGTGTTGTACTGTATCTTATAGCACCATCACTGCTGATGCAGCAACATAAGTGCATATTCTCTCTGTCTTTTTTTTTGTTGATTACATTTATTATTGTACAAAAGCTTGGAAAACACAAATCAGTGATGGTTGACTTGATCCCCCAGAAGTTTTCACTATAGTATTAAATTTGGATTAATCCTCAGTTGAAACTAGTCCAAAATAGATTAACTTTATTTTCGGTTTATTAAAATATCAGTATCCAGCTGTTTAAAGATATCACCAAAGTTTTTATAAACTGCAAGGATGCACTTAGTGAGCAGTTTTTTAAGATTTTCATTGGTATGAACCAATGGGCTTGGGAGTATGAGTCACATCAGCTGCTTTCAGACATGCACTGAACTCCGCAGATACTCTGTATTTTGTGTCGGAGTGATCCCCTTCTGGATTCACAGTGAGAGAGTGGGGGGGTTAATGATGCTTCTATACGCAACAGAAGCAAAAATGAAAAAACAAAAGAAAACAAATGTGTTCCGGTGAAAACGCGGTGTCACAGAAGAAACCGACGAAGTAGTCAAGAGAGTTTGAGGCGATAACAGCCGACACATTGTTGGTTTTGTTCTTTTTGTGGTTTTGGGCTTTCCGTGATTTGGTGACCATTAGAAATGAAAATGTTAAATAGTTAAAGACTTATCTTTATGAATAAAAGTCTCACTGGAGTCAACCCTGCAGCTGGTCCTCACCTCCAGTTTCCTGCAGCCACAAGCTCCACTGTACCATCTCACCATTCCTCCACCACAGCATGATCTGCTGCTTTATGCATGTTTTCACTTTAAATTTGAGATCTTTCAAATGAAACTTAATTCCAGTGTTGTCATATGTGTTCTCTCACGCACAGTGTTGGGCCCGCTGCAGTCAGTGATGCAGGATCTGCACTCGGACGACAACGACGAGGATTCAGAGGAGGACGATGACAATGACATGGACTCGGACATGGAGCGATTGGCACACACGCACCTCACACACCACCAGCGCAGGTTAGTAAATGGACATGATCCCTCTGTTGAAGGACCGCTACTCATCATAGACACAGGCATGTTTGTGAATGCGAGCACTGCACACAACTCTACAATGACACAAAACTAAGATCTTTCTTGTTATTATGAGAAGCGGTAAAACATTTTCACATCATTATGAAACACTGATGCAACAAATGAGACTAAGGTGGGCCACTGCAGTCGAGGTAATTGATGGAAAACACATTGTGCGCATGAATCCAGGTGGAATGTCTGAAAGTTCACTTGACATTCAATTTCCGTTACTGTCCCTGAGTGGCAGTAATAAAATGTTCACTGGAAACTTTTGAAGATTTGTCTGATGATCCACTGAGCCACAGTATCCATATCTTAAAATCTCAATATTTGTCATAGATGTGAAGGGCCTACATTTCCCATGAGTATTTGCAGTTGAACTCTGGAAAATGACAAGGCTCTGATAAAGTCACTGTGGACTCCCTGCACCAAACAGCAGACTGAGTGACGTTCAGTCGCCGGGGAACATGTACTGAAGCGTTTGTTTTTTTGTTTTGTTTTTCTCTTCTGTGACTTCCTGTTCAGGGTCAGTTTAAGTGATGGCAGTGAGAGTGACAGCTGCTCGCCCTCACCCCCCTCCCGCATCGAGGCCCCGCCCTTACTGAAGACTACTAATAACCAGGTACGTTCCTATGATGTCACATATTATGTCTTTGTAATTCAATGCAGCACAACGCAGCCCATGTGTTGACTCTGTAGCCCCAGGTCGCCCAGAGTGACTGACCCTCTGTTTACTTTATCTCCCGTCAGATCCTGGAAGTGAAGAGTCCCAACAAGCAGGGCAAACAGGACAAGAACAAAAACCTTGACTGTGACAAGGTAAACAGGATTCCTTCTTATTTTTCAGTTTAAAACAACCCATTTCAAACAGATCAGAGGAATATTATCTGTAAGAAATTGAGATAGTGTAAACGCTATTTATATATATATATATTTATATTTATTTATATCCTGATGACCACTTAACGGTACAGACAATTGCGGAATGGGGAAGGCTGGTATTGAACCACCAGCCGCCCACAGGAGTTTACTTAAATGTGTTACATCATTCAGACAGACAGAGGGTAGATGTGTGTTCATCAGCTCGGCCCCAGAGGACGACATGACTGTCACACAGCTTGGCTCCGATATGAATAGGTGGAAACATGACTCATTAACATGGTTGTTGTTGGATGATTCTAACCTTCTCGTTGTTTTTGGTAGCAACTACACTGCAGTGCGAAGCTCCTTGCATGAAACCATTTTACGCCTCGTCAACTCTGCTTACTCATCAGTGAGCTCGTCCGTATCAACTCATGCTGTGCAACTCAGCAGCTGCATATGAAACACGCGAAATACACATTTTATTTTCAGTTGTAGTAGGATCCCATCGCTTTCAAAGGTAGCTCATATGTCTGCCTGCATTTGGAGAGCTTTGACAAGATGATGCAAAATATATATGTGATACTGTCGAACAAAATAAAAATGATTTGTAGATGTTAATCTACAGCGACCCCTGTCTTCTCCCTGTATGTCCTGTCTATATCATCAAATACATACATGCATGCAGGACTACACAAGGAACCACAGACAGATACTAATACATACCTGCAGCAAAAGAAATGAAAACATAATAGTAGTAAAATAATATTGAATAATATACTTGAAAGCAGTTGTTGGTAGGAGTGATCATGTTTAGACTGTATACATTTATTTTATTCCTTAAATGTACTTCAGAGGCTATATAAAGAGACAGTTTACTTTCAGGTAAAGATGTTCAAATAACTAACACTTGACATCTTTGTTCAACAAAAACAATTGTACAAGGTGTGGTTTACTTGTATGAGCTGTATTCATTTGCCATCTCCTATAGTATTAGGACACATTAGTCTCCGGGGGCAACCGCCATTGTTTTGGTGCTTCTGGTGTAGACGGAGGATTGTCGAACGTTCCTCCACCCACAAACACAAAGTGATTCGATTTTGTGGGTGCATGCTTTCCACACGGACTGTTTACCTGCGGCAACTATATCCTGCTCAAACATGATTGGTTAAACCTGAAACAGGATACAGAAACGTGCCCCAAAATCGTGTCCTTCACGTCCAAATTCTGCATTTTCACATGTAAAAATAGAGATCGCTCTGTATTTAACCTGAATTATTTTCAGTTACTGATTGTCATTGTAAACCTGGGATGTGTTAAAGCTCTAGACTTACTCCTTGTCATTCCTCCAACAGTTCTACAATACACTTTTCTATTGTTTGTGTGCAGAGCTTTTTAGAAGCAGTCTATGGTGTGGACTCATGTTACAAAACTTCATCCTACCTAGTTTATCTGCAAGGAAGATTTTATATTCAGTTTTTTTTTATAAAATGAACTGAATTTGCTGTTTAACTGTTCATGTGTGTGGCTTATATAGAACTTTAAATGATTAAGTGAACTACTGTTGTTTCATATGTCACATATCAGTTATTTTAATGGTCTGTTAAGCAACCGACACAATACTCAACCTGGTCCACTGCAAGGAACTGTTTGCCTGTTAATTTAAATTGTATTAATATTGAACATATTGAACAACCTAAGCATACTAAATATTTGGACAATTTACCATAGACTTGCCAAAGTTTAAGCCAGTAAGATGAACGGTTTGCAAGATATGTGTTCCACATACAGACTTAGAATATCAGGGGTCCACACAGGGGTCCAACATGTTCAATATCCTGTGTCCAACAGCTGGTTCCTGTGTAGATGTGAATACAGAAGATACTAACACTAAAACACTGCTGTGTGTTTTTTAAGGCTTACCTGGATGAGCTGGTGGAGCTGCACAAAAGACTGATGACACTAAGAGAGGGTCACATACTGCAACAGGTGAGCGGCAGCTGTCCAACAGCGTGTGACACTACAGTCATTCACCTTCGCGTCGCACCGCCGTTCGCCCTGCCTCTTCTACTGAACCCTATCCCATGATGCACTTCACACATTTAACAGTCCGAGGCGCACACGCACTGGTGAACGTAAGGGTTTTTGAATTTCACAATACTGCCAAGTGATCAGTGAACACTGATGGGTTTATCATGGCTCAGTGAATCCATGCATGTCCTGTAGCGGCGGTCTCAGTCAGCCGATGGGCCCACCGGGAATAAGTTGCTCTTTAATAATGACGGATTATTATTAAGATGAGTAAATAGTTCTGTCTACATGATGCAGTTGAGCTGAATTGTTCTTGTCTTTGTCTGTACAGCAGTGTGGTTGGGGACGGGGGGGGTGCAGGACTTAAGACATAGCCACAGTTTTTTTAAGAAAAGCTGAATAACATTTCCTTTTCCACACGATGTGACAAAGACCCTGTTTACTCCTAGATTAAAGCAAGAGTGGATAAGGGGGACAGGAACAGTCCTCTCCTCAGTTGTCACGCTATTCGAGACACTTGTGAAGAACAACACAGGGCGAAAAGCAAGAAAACACAGAGCGCTCTTTTTTGCAAATGAGAGGAGAATGTGACCAGAATTGGACAGAGTTCATATTTCGATCTTGAAATATATTTAAGCAGTGTAAATGGATTTAAAGCACAATGTTAACAACCAATCTACGTGGAGCGATTAACAGACATTAATACACAAAAGGAACAGGAATGTTTCTGCATTGATTTTTCACATTAGACGTTTGACTTCTCTTTAAATATATCATCTTGTTGTGTCCTGGCATCATTTATTACCCACATTCACAAGTGTAACTTGTTCCACTTTATGAAAACATAGTTCAACTACTATCCTCACCTGAACATTGTAGTTTTATTAAAAATGTCTTTGTGTAATATGTTTTTGTTTATATTAGAGCAGTAACTCACAGCAGTTAACCTAAAGGTATAAAATGCCAATAAGAAAACATTTAATTTAGTTTTAATTTAACGTTTGGGCTTTAATTTCCTGTTTTATTATAAAGTTTAAGTCAACACTGAACTGTGAGGTTGCAGGTAAAATATACTGAGTGAGTTCCCACAGTTTTCACTGCTCTCAGCATAATATCGTACACGTTGTTGCAGTGGATTAGAGGAGGAGCTGTAATCTGTTACAGATCCTCTGTAATCTGTGGTTTCATCTGGAAGCAATGAATTATTTGGTTAACCTCCCTCCACCTAAGAGATTGCATGTTTCTTGCTTATATTTTCTCGGCCTATCGTATGACGGCATTAATGGATCTTCCCAGTGGAGGCTGCCAAGTTCTGCCTCGCTCTCCTAACAAGACGTCTGGCTCTGAGGAAGCCCGAAATCCCATCCAATGCGGCGTCGCTTTCACTGGCACAGTAATCAGGCTATTCTGGCAGAGTTCACCAACTGGCTTCACTTCCTGTTACAAGAGATGGAAATGATTAAGTCGCAGCCTCTCTGCACACTGGTGGGACACACACACACGGCTGCACTGTGGGACTCCACATGAGTTTGGTAGCTTGTTTCCAGTTGAGTCCCAAACAGAGAAAATGAGCAAACAGGGCCGAATCGTCACCCACGCAGCGCAAACAAGTAGGCAAAGTGTGAAGTGACACTCGAGCATCTGACTTGCATCTGCCCTGTGATTAAAGCAGGCTGCCATTCCTTCCACAGGGGCTTTGTAGTGTGAACAGATTCAGGTTTTTTTCCAAACTGACTGCATCTAAAACATTGCTGTGGTCCCAGTCAGTCAGCTAATTCTAAAAAAAAAAAGAAAAAAAAAGACTTCTTCTAAATCATCTTCTTTTGGTCAGCCAACACCGAAACATCTAATCAGAGGGAAAGCTCAGTAGACACATAATGTGGTGGTTCAGCTTAATCCAAGAAAACAACCAGCGGAAAATAGTCAACACAAATATATTTAAGTCTGTGTAAGTGTTAGTGAACAGTTTTCTTTTTGCAGTGTATCAGAAGACGGCCTGTCGATTGTTTAAGATCCTCCGTAATCATTTCTCATCTACACATTTTTATTCAGAGACTTTATTATAAGAAAAAGTCATTTGTTTCTTACAAAGCTCTAAACACGACTGTTGTTCTGTGAACAATGAAGTGATGGTTCTTCCCGGGTTTTTGATTCCAGCTTTACAAACACAAAAGACATTTTGTGAAGAAAATTGATTTGTCCCTCCTGTGGAAATCAGCAAATCGTCAGTTAAGATGTTTTAATTGTGTTAGCGCCTAAAAATGTTGAGTTTTGTTTCTCCAAGTTCTTAGTGAATGATTTCTGGATCTTGTTTTAAAAAAAATGTACATGCAGATTATGCAACATGTTTTCCCTTTTAGTTTCCTATCATAAGAGTGAGACAGACGTGTGGGATTGTTTGGACTGAGTGCTGTTCTAGCTTCATTTAAAATAGCATTTGAAGAGGCTCGGAGCCTGAAGAACAAAAACTGTTTAACCATGATTCCATATGTCCGCAATTCTTCCAGTCTTGCCTGTAAATTGAAATACTTAAAGGAGTAAAAAGTGGCAGTAGAATAGAATTACTGAAAAGGCTTTAATGGTGGTAAAAACTGAAGGTGTCAGTCATAAGCTGCTGTCAAACATGCACTGAACTCCGTTGATATACTCTGGATTTTCTCCGGAGGCAGTGCACGTGTGAATGCAAATGTCTGAGTGAGAGGCTCCGGATTATCTGCAGACTTTCTCCCCCTGACCCCCTGGTGGAGGCAAAACTGACGCAAAACTGCAAAGAAGCATGCGAAATTACAGCAGCTACCACTGAAAGGTGCATTTAGTAAAAAAAAAAAAAAAAAAAAGAAGAAAGAGGTGTGAAGCGTGAGTGAAGACATTATTTCTATTCTCATTCTACCCGAGAATAGAACTAAATACCTCCTGTATTTACCCACCATCCCCTGTGTTTTCCAGATTGTGAACCTGATTGAAGAGACTGGACACTTTCACATCACAAACACTACTTTTGACTTCGACCTTTGCTCTTTGGACAGAAGTACAGTAAGGAAACTCCAGAGTTACCTGGAGACCTCCGGACTGTCCTGAGGCCCCCGAGCAGCTGGCTGCTGGATCTCTGTCTCCACATAGACTTCTGACTTCCCTTGAATGAACTCTTTCGATGCAATGCAAAAGCCCCACTGTGGCCGGGTCCAGTTGCTGTGTGTGTCCATCCTGCTGGTTGGACTGGGCTCTCTGAATGCAGAGGTCGTCCCGCTGCAGAAAACCAGATCGAGGTGTGGCGGGGATGAGCCCTGTCGATCAGGAGATCACCCAGAAAGCCTTGAAAACTTGATCTCGAAGAAAAATGAAGTGGGGAGTGGTGACCGTGTTCTCTTAATGAATGTGCATATTGTTACCATGTATGTTTCTTGATTTGTTGTACATTGTGACAAACGCATGGTCAACATTGCCTTACAAAATTGTAAGTCTTATTTATTGAATTTAATTTGCAGGCGTGTGTGTATTTGAAATGGCAAAAAAAAAAAAAAAGAAAAGCAGCAGAATGAGACTTTGTTAAAGCACTTCACAGTTGACTCATCCTTGATTCTGTGTGACAGTCGAGCATCACTACAATAATGTCACTGACTTCGATTTTAAATTTTTATAGAAACCAAAAACTGCCACAACAGCTGTCGATGTGATTTGTTTTCCTCTTGATAAAAAAAAACAGAATCAATGTCCAACTCCAGCGAAAGTTATTTGTAAATCTGCAATTTACATAAAACACACAAACCTGTCAGCAGTCGGACAGAAACACTAAACACTTGTTATGTGAGAATCATGAAAGAGGCCTGGCCAGCTTAGATTAGTCTTGTTCAATTGCAGAACCATTTTCACAAAGTGGTTTTGCTTTTGTCAGTGACTTTGTCAAAGAACTGAGCAGCAAGACAATAGGAGGATGAAATATTTGTGGTTGGAGAACAACGTTTTACTGGGCAGCATTGAAGGCCACACCGAACCCATAACTGCAAATTCATTTAAAGATGTCATCGACACACTGCCTACATAACATTTGAGATGGGATGAGTCACACAAATTGGGGATAACGGCCCTGGTTTACAGTCGATCTCGTCAAAGGTGGTTGTGATGCTCCCCTCGGGTGTACGCACACGACCTGCGCGCGTCACACCGCGACCTAGGATTTGCATAAATTGGGAATAATCATCCGTTTCGAGAATGGATGCAACTCACGGAAAAGTGCATGACTGATGCTGTCAATGTGGCACAATGAGGGGGCGATGTCTTACTGTAAGACAAAGAAATAGGACACGATGTATAAATACCACACAGACGCAATCATTTAGCACCTTTTGGTTGTTTCCTCTAAAGGAAAGCTTGTGTCAAAGGATCTAATCTTGAATTCATTTCCAACATGACTTGCAAACATTCGTTTTGCATCCATTAAAAAATTCACTCTGAAAGAATTTCACTACACACCTTTTTTTGAGATATGAGCAGAGTGAGCTGAGCACAAATCACCGAGGTGGTTCATCATCACATTTTTTTTTATGGTCCTGCATCATTGGCCGCAGCTTAAAGACAGCAGAGCCAGTGGAACATGGCAAAAATCATGGTCAACGGATTCACTCGGTTTGAGATCGGACTAACGTTTGTCTAGAGAATATCATGTCTTTGCCATTGGGGGGTGGGGGGGGGAAGGATTTGTAGAACAGAGCCGAGCCCCGTCGGAGGAAAGGGAGGACTAGCTCCCTTTACGATGTCCGCGGAGTAAAGAAACTCCCGCGTGCTGCATTTCTGAAATGTGTGATGAAATTATTGGGCTAAATCTAATGCTACGGGTGAAAAAAAAAAAAAAAAAAGTAAGATCTTTTATTTATTTTGTTGGAGCTTGAGTTGTTAAATCAAAGCCCAGCATTCATTTTCCGAGGAGAAAGCCTTTGTTTGATTTGAGGACACTTTTGCCAGAATGACAAACTGTTCCGGTCTTCTCCAAATGACCTTAAAGGGGTTTTGCTTGCCCTGTGCTCTGTCTTATGGTTTCTTGTGTATTTTGGGGACATACAATAAACATTCTGTATGATGTACAGATGAGTTACTAAGCTATTTGTTTATGAGCTTTATTTTTGGCTTTGTTTTTTTTCCAGCAGCTACAGATGTTTTCATTAATATTTGAGCACAAGCTCTGTTTGCCCTTTTTTTCTTTTTTGAGTGAAAGATTACCAACAATTTTTTATGATCTTTGATGCTTTGAACTTCAAATTAAAGGTATAGTCAGTAAGATTTAAAGACTTTGTTTAGAGCGGGTCCTCTTTACGGAGGCCGCCATGTTTTTTTTACAGTAGCCCGAACTGGACAAACTAAACAACTTTTGAGTTTTTATGACAACTGAAGTCTACCACAGGTTCTCTAGATCACCACTAGATGTCACTAAATTCTACACACTGAACCTTTAAAGCTCTTATATCTAGGAAATAAAAATATCTGTCTCCTCCTAGTGTTAGTGTGAGAAACTACAAGCGGTGCGATGAATGGGCAGAAAACACAGCACCAGTGTCCACAGGGTTATTTGTTTCACACAGAGACTAATTACTAAGATTTTACCATAATCAGATGAAAACTTGACACATTGCAGCTTTAATTGTTCGTCATTTTCTGCGTTGACTTTTCGCATTACCAGAATTTGAGGATATTGTTGTCAATAATCACTGATTTGGACTCCAAGAGAGAATCAAGGGACTATTGTTGCCCAGAAAAACATTATTCTCTACATATATAGGTAGCTTTATATTAAACATTTAATTCTTGAATGTGTTCTAATGTTTCCTGACTTCTTTTCAATATCATGTTCTTTTATTTTAAGGCAGCAGTCAGTCACAGATTTCTGTGTCACACACTCATTTGCACACTTGTTTTCTCACAAAGGTGCATTTGGGTGACGTTAGCAATGTAGGAAATCCACAATGCGGGCGCTCATAGTTAGCAGCTGCTTTCATTCCCATGGTTATCAGTGACTGGTAAATATTGTGCATCACACACACTGCTCCACTGCAGGGTGTAAGTAACTCCATCACTTGTTTTTCAAATGTTTTTACCCACATCCAGATGGAGACATGCTCTCGAAACATGAAGCTGTGATTTATTACAACTTGGGTTTAGTTTCCATAGCGCTGGTAATCAGTGGTACTGACTCATGATAACGTTTCTACAAGCACAAACACTGACTGTGGAAAACTGGGCTTCTGAGTTTGATTCAAATCTACAGTGAGTGTTTTTTAAGTCAAGTGTTAAGGCTCAGTATCTCAGGTTCACAATTTGAGAGCAATAAAAATCCATTTTATTCCTTTTATTTTAGGATTTCGATCGGAGAAGAAAACTTCAATTTACGGTAAGTAAATTATTAATAGTAAGTAAAATATTGTAACCAACAACTGATAGTCAGAGCCACAAATAGACAGAAAACGTGCATTGAAATACACTCCAATGCTCTAATGTTCATCAAACACATCAGTTTACTGTCCATTGCTGCAGCTCCTCTTTTCAGCCTCTGACTGAAACACTTTAGCTCCTCCCCCTCCTCCTGATAAAGCCCACTTTGTTCTGAATGGCCAGCCGGCCCACTCTGTTGTGTGCACGTGGGGAATGTCTGCCTCTCCTCTCTCTTTACCTGGCTCTGCAGAATGTGTCTTATAAAGTAAATGTAAACAAAATCCCCAACACTGCCACAATATGGAATATCAACACAAGTCACGATAATGATCGTTACAGACAATACACAAAACCACGTTATCATTCAATGTTTTTATTTAAACTCACCTTTAACTAGTTTATTGTGTGAATTGCGGTCAAAACTGTTACTAATACACATTATACAAACCACAGCTGTCAAAACCAAATGAAAGTTGGTGAGCTCGGTGTGTGTCGCACGGAATCTGTTCTCTGCATGAAGGCTACCGATGGCAGACCTGATCAAAAACACATGGTGCTGCTTTACACTGGGAATCATCCACAGACAGGGTTAAATGAATTCTGTGAATTGCATGTGAAGACTTTGATTCTAAAAATACTATAAAAATGTGTACTTGTGTTGCTGGCAGTGCTGATTAGACCGTCCATAATGTAATCTAGAAGAGTTAATAGGTCAGTAAGAGTGGAAGTCATTTGGTTTCCTCTGGTGGATGTTCTTTTTGTGTCGGTCTAAGTGGGTGGTCTGATCGAGGAAAAGCTGGGAGTCGTCCAGTTTCTCCATTTATTGTGGGCGAAGAATCTCACATGCTTGATGTCATGCATCTTACCAGGCCTGCTTCTGGAACAACCTGTTCCTGCTGACTGGAGGATAAATGTTAAAAATGTCTGTGCGGAGGAGTCGGCAGGTTGGTCTCTGTTCTCTTCACATTCAGTCGTGGTGGAAATCGGTTCCGGTTCCATTTTCTCTGGTGTGATTTGTATTTATGTTTCGGCAACATCGCCAAATTTAGATTTGACAGCAGAAATCTTAATGTGTCAGTTTGGTATGAAAATCCTCCGCACATTTATGCTCCTTCTGACTTGAACTGAGCCCGTGGGCAGGCACAAAGACAGGCCGTCATAACCTACACACACACACACCGTGGTGGAAGTGGCTGTGGGAGGAATGCAGAGGAATGAAGAGACACGGATCTTCACACTTCTTTGCACCTCAACACACCTCACTGTGATTTGTCGGTGTGATTGTCTAGAAAGTTGCACAGTTGGCCCAATGTGTGATATCCAACTGTTCCTTTTAAGGAACCCTCTAAATGAACTGTTTTGCAAAATACACACTATTATTATCCCAATTGGAATATACTAACATTTCGCATTTATAATAATGCCTTTCCTGCCCAGGTAATATCCCACCAGTCTGGTGTCCATGTTCTCCAGTATTATAACAAGCTGAATCCTCTGTTAGCTTCCATGACAAAACTCTCTGTGCATCATTTACTTTCTTCTATCCAACAGTTCTTTTATCTCTATTAGAGAGCTCAAAGAATATTTTTTTAGTTTAACTAAAAGCGTGAACATTAAATATACATAGTTATAAATAAAAACCATCTCAGTCGTACGACATACTGTTGAGGATGGCTCGGCTCCAAGGCTGGAGCTTTGGCTTTTTGTGTCACTTCTAATGTCAGTGGGATTTTGGATGACGTTTCCTGAGTCGAGAGCAGAACCTCTGTGGACTCCAGGTTTGGTCCTCTGCCAGGGACGAGCCTGCTTTGTATCAGAGCTGACAGAACTGGCAGTGAAAAGATAAACTTGCTCATGACCAAGAGTTGGGGACAGTTCAAAAGGTAAAAAGTTGGCGCTTCCAGTGGAAGAAAAGCTTTGTATCCCATCAGTGAACTCTTCATTACCTCATGAATCATTTTCCTTTCACCCACAAACACTGACGTCGGAGCTGTTAAAGTTCCACAGCACAGGCGCTGCAGAGCTCCACACGCTACAGCTCTCCGCGTGTCCCCTGAACGTCAACAGTGTGTTTTTACTTCGACTGAGAAATACTTGCAGTGTGAACGGCATGTTAGCAGAGCAGCAGCAGCAGCTCTGGTACTTCAGACACAGGACTGAGGTGCAGGTCACCGAAACCCTACTGATAAAACATGAGTCTGTTTGTTTGTCTTTTTTCTTGACAACCGCACGACCAATCAGCTTTAAACTTGGCTGGTGTGTTGCTGAGAGCCCAGTGTTGACTGTGAA